TACCACGAGTATTTGTACCTTTCAGCCTTGTTCTTTACCAGTATTACTACTGCAACCTTTGGTTATTATTGGTACTAATACTTACTTATATAGGGTCAAACCATCAAATGTCTTGAGCTTAAAGTAAAAAAGTTCCGTCCTCACAGAACTTGCTTTTCACCATTCACTGACTGTGCATATGGTTTATCAGAACTGCTCTCCTGACAGTTTATAACAGTCTATGAGAATATATTGCCCAGAATGGCCCCTATTGTTATCTCCCATACTCCTGTAATGCAATTTCTGAACAACAATATGGGTCCCGCTGCTCTGTACTTGTCCTGTATCTTCCTGACTCCTGATTGGACGAGGCCTTCTGCAGCTTCGGCATTTCTTTTCACTGTGCCTACTTCCAATAGTGTGGGTGTCAAAAGCTGAGACGCCAAGCAAGTCTCGCTGCTCTGGTCAGAAGAGAAAATGACAGTATATTCCACAAATTCAATGTACCCCATTTTGGAAACCCATTTTCTTCTCAGATAGGGCTTCCCCGCAACCTTTTGGTTGTGATTTCCCCCCCAAAGACGATGAGAATGATATTGTCCAGACCAGTGGTTACAATTTGTGCTGGCGACCGCATCGGAGCAGTGTTTTCAAACATGACTAGATCTTCATTTTCTCCTCTGTTTGTTCCAGTTGGTCTTTTGCACGACATGGGAATACATAAACACCAGGATGTAAACATTTTATAGAGCTCCGGCTGGTTCCTGGTGCAGTGAGTACCAAAGGGGGAAACTGGGATACATGCGCAGTATTCCCAGAAAATGTGCTCTGCTGTTAACTTGCTTTATGGATCTATGGAGATATGAATACTGTTGCACTGAGCCTCTTAAAATTATTCACGTAGAGCAGCTAAACTCTTAGTCTTCATTTTACATCCAAAACAAAGGAATTTTAATCCAGACAGCAGTTGTCTTAGAGCTGTTGAAATCAGTAGTAAGTATCAAAGGATGTCAAGATTAGTCTGTAAATTGCTACTTATTTATTATGTCATAACATAACAGTAAGAAGTCTTGGATAATCATGTCAATCAACATTTTAAAAGCAAAATGTTGAACTAAACTCCAAAAAGTTAAAGTTTGCGTTTATGCCACATTACTGTTACTTTGACATTCAGAACGCTCTATTTCATATAGCATGGTGGCAGTTTGGATAAAGGTACATTTAGGATTTATTTTATTGACAAAAGTAGAATAAAATAAACCATTAAAGTATGACTTTTGTGTTTTATTATGATGGGCATGATATAAGTTAGGAAATGGTATTTTAAAGCTTTATGTATTATTATTATTATTGTAGTATTATTATTATTATTAGAACTATGTCCACACGTCTGTTAGGAGGAGGAGGACTGAGCTTGGGACTTTGGAGTTGTTGATTTGTTCAGGTTACACTTTCAGAACTATGAACCCAACTATCGTGTTGTGTAGAGATGCTAATGTTGTCAAGAAGAACAGCATGAAAATTAAAAGAAATTGTGTGCAAGTCAAGATTTGGAAAGAAAGAGTTAGGAAACAATCAGATGTTAAATACAGATTTCTTGTTGAGAAGGTTACATAGAGTTGACAAATCTGTAACTTATTAGAACTGATAATGGACAGATTTATCTTTCGAAGCAAAATCATTGTTCATGTAATAGAAAATGCCTTTAATTGTTTACTTCATAGCATGTAAGAAAAAAATGGTGATGTCCAGATGTGGACCTCACAGAGACACACTGGTTCATATTAATACAACTAGGACATGCCTCCTGCAGTTTTTATCTCTGTGGTATGTTGTGGGAAAGATGGACTGGCGTGGGCAGAGTTGTGTTTTAGTTTTTGTTTTTCCTTGAGTGATGCAAAAAAGAGGGAGCTGCTGAATGTTCTTGTATGTTAGCTATGTATATCACTAGTCTAGTAGTGAGTTAGTGAGTACCTTAAATAGTTTAAGTGCCATCTCAGAGCCAGCTGTTTTAATGTTATTCTTTATTTTCTGATATATTATTTTGCAGTAGGTAGACTCAAAAATATAGAAAAATATACCATTTAAAGATGACATGTACAATGATGTTGATTTAGATATTTTCATGGAAAAGGGTGAGTGCTGCAATTCCATTTTCCACCTTCCTACAGATTGTAAAACTATTGCTATCTCATTAGAATATTGATATTTTTTTGTAAAACTGTAATGCTGTTGTAATGATAGCTAAATAAATACACTAGGATCATGAAGAGCAGGTTAATATTAGCATTTTAAGACCAAAATGCGGAGGCTCATTGCAGCAGTTACAGAGAGAGGGGTGAGTTTTCAACATAAAGTCAACGAGAGTCAGTCGATGGAGCCGGAAGCACCTCTATGCTCACTTCCTCTTGGGAACCCAGCAGCCAGCAGGTTAGCTATGTCCATTTATACATTCAGTCTATGTGTTATACTCAGATCAACTCAATTACATAAACTTGTCAGCACATGAGTTCCTCTAACTCTTTATCCTTAGCAAGAGGCAGAGCCAATGTTTGGAGGGCTGATGGTTGTCAAGAGAGACTTAAATGTCAAGTGCAGGTGCAATTGGAGATAACAGAGGAGTAAGTAAAGTAAGGAGGAGCACAGCCAAATGGAACAAGTGAGTGAGTCTCAATCTGATTTATTCATTGTGCCCTTGGAGAGAGACGGGGTAAAGACTACAGCGGCACAGTGCGAAGTGATGGAGCTACTCAACCAGAAAGGCTTTTTTGTCTGTGGTAATCAAAGCACCCCTATGACACGTCCTCCCTCTGCATTTGAGTTTGAGCTGTGTATTTTTTTTGGGAGGGAGGTCTTTTTCACACATACACACGAGACTGGCACCAGTAGATGTCTTGTTATGCAGAAGGAATTTGATGCAAAATTCTGAGATGTTGTAAAAGACTTGTAAATGTTCTAGTGGGATGTGAGTGAGTTGTTTTGGCATTGTTAACTTTGTCAGTGTGGTTATGTTAGATAGGTTAGATTTTTACAGATAGAGATTGAGACTTTCCATTTATGTTTTGTCATATTGGTACTAGTAGTGTAAAATGGTATGTATGTAATTATTAATATTTTAAAAGTCCTATATCACACAAAATATACTCTTTTGAGCTTTAAATCATGCTATAATATCCTCAAAAACATACCTGGAGTTGTATTTTGTTTCATTCATGCATGTTTCAACAATCCTTTATTATTAGTCTGTCTATATCTCCAAAGCTGTTCCACCATGTGATGTCATGTAGTAGTAGTTTTTAAAGTTAATAGCTACCTTTTTACCTTTAGTTTAGTAGAAATGGTCAGTTCCAGGACTGAAATTATTCAAATGATTCTAGTGAAGGTGTATGGATTTTAAAAACACAGTGGATTACTTTCTGTATTACCACATGTGTGAATGAAACAAAAACACAACTCCGGGTATGATTTTGATGAGGAAACAACATTACAACATAGATCAGCAAACATGAGCCCTTTAATACAAACAAAAAAGTCTTCACTTCTATATTCCAACATTTGGGCAGAGATTGTCAAGTCTTAATGGTCAGGTATTTTTCTGGTTCACCCTCTTTTTATGTAATGAAATCTACCTCTTGTGTGTCACTGGTATTTTAATGACCCTCTTTCATTGTTACAAATATGACATTGTTTCCTCATTGAAAATACAGTGCAGTTACTCTAATGTACTGCAGTGCACCAGTCGCACACAGCACTGTCCTCTTCCTTAGACAGCGGAGAAAAGGAACAACAAAAAGCCAATATCGTTTCATGCATTTTCAGAGATGGATGTTGTTTTTTGGACCTGTATCGTATTGTCTTTTCTGTTGCCAAAGTCTGGTGCGGTGTACTAATCCGAAATCATTGCGGCTGCGTCTAAAAAATGAATGGGAAAGGGAGAAAACACTGGTCCTCTGCCATGTTTGTTGGATTTGTTATTTGAGCTGTGGTGGAGCTGGAGACCTTGGAAAGAATTCATTTTTGCCACACAAAGCAGACCCCGCAACCAATACAATGACGGGAATGTCTGGCCCAGCCTCTGTTGGGAATTTGATTTGCCGAATATTTACACTACCATTGCAAATTGCGCTAATCCTGGTCGGAATCCATGAGAATACTGTGTGGTTCTGCTCGGTGCAATGTGCTTGGTAAGCATATTGTGGTTATAATGATGTTTTATTGATTGTGTCACAACTCACAAGGTATCATATAAGGAGAGAGAGAGATCAGAAGGAGGATGGAGTTGTCAATGCAGTCTTCAATCAGAGGAAGCACAGAGAGCATGAGGCAGATGGCGATGTATTGATCCAAAAACGCACGCTTCTACAAGAGAACAGCTCAATATGGACGCCACACAAACCCAATGCTGCTGTGCAACTGTCCGTAGGGTCTGGTAACTGATACCCTGTGTTTACTTTGAGGTTGGCCCATTGACTTTGAATCGCTGATAGTAAGTGGGCATTTTTAAAGGTGCTATATGGTATGTTTCAGATGGAAGGTCTGCCACCTGCTTGTCTTCGTGGAGCTGTTACTACTTTGCCTGGAATGTTCCACAGTATTATGTTAAACAGTATAATGTTATGTTGTATTTATCTATCGAGACAAGCAGGTAACCCCAACCAGGCAACGGTCAGATTTATGAAGAGATGGTCCTGTTCACAGTAACAATACACAATCTATTTTTGAGCAATAAAAACACTTGATTGAATGAAAGAGAATATAAATTATTAAATGCAATACCATGGTACACTTCAGGTAAAGCAAAAACATTTCCATGGAGGCATCTCATTCACCAGAAAAATCTTTGAAAGAACTAGTACACAGTACATTCCCACGTTTAACCATTGGTCTCATATCAGAGTAAAACACAAATTCCTTATTTGCCATTGCCTAAAAGAAGTGTTGATAGGTGTTGTGGTTAAATGAACACAGCCACAGATCTATTTCTGTACAATTTATTTACAAAATATAGTAAAATTTGTCTGTACAGTGCCTCTCTAATGAGGCTCATGCATCTGGCTGTTTTCACCCACTACTTTACACCTGGTGAGTCGGATTCACAGAGGTGAGACTTACAAAAAGAGGTGATTTACAAAAGAAATGCCTGGCCTGATTCTAGCTTTAACCTAAAGGTCAGCTGTGAGTAAAAAGCTTGTCAAGCATCACTGATTCACATGCAGTTTCTCAACAAAAGAAAAAGAATAGATCATTTTCATATAATTCATGTAAATGTACACAGTTTCAGCTCTTTTGCTTCACATTATCATTGAATAGAAAACTATTTGTTCATAGGTTATTATAATAATCTTTCTAAATCCTATGAAATCACAGTCTTTTGGAAAGAAAACATTACAGCAATATGGAAATGTGCTAAGCTTCAGGATTTTCCCTGTTTCTTAATATATTATATTTGTTTATTTTTTAGTTACTAAGTGAAGTCACCAAACACGGTAATGCTTCATAAAAAATGTGAAATGAAAAGTAAACCACGGTTGGCTATAAATGTGCAGTTATTGAAGAAAATAGTAGATATTCATAATACTGGAGATTCTGAGCGCTACTGTCCTTGAATGGGCTTCAGTTCATGTACAATTGAGTTACCTTGGTTTGGTTGCCGTCATATACAGAAGACTATTGACTTCAGGGAGTGTCTTAATTTTGTCCTTCTTATTTTACAAACTGCAAATCACAAACAGATAGAACTTAAACATAAACACCCTGGTGTCACAGACTTTCTCCTGGCAGTATTGGAAGTACAACTCATGTCCTGCTCTGTGTGGAGATCATCAGCAGCAGCACCATTTGAATACAAACATAGTTTGGGCGTTTCTCTCTGAAGGTCTGTCTGCATCTTAAAAGTGGAACACAGTCACTATAAGTGACCCATAACAGTATAAAAGCTAGCGTTATAATACCCAGTGTTATACAGTGCACTGCAGTAGGTCTAATAAACGTACAGAAAGACATAGAACCAGAGAAAATCTGACAGCCGAAAGATGAGGAATATCAGATCATAATGAGAACAACAAATTGATTCCACATATATAATATTTGTCTTCTATGGCACTTCAAAGTGTGCTTAGGATTGCAAATGATGGCTTTAGTTCATTCTCAGTCAATGTTGGACTCTTTTAAATCACTGCTTCTTTCTTCTGGTTTCTTTGTGTGTTTTTTTTCAAGCAAAAAAGCAATTTGAGTTGTGTATGAGTTGCATTGATTGGACTCAGAGTTCCATAAGGCACTGAGGAGAAAAGGCTCTTCCCTTGACCAGTCTGTCGTGTCATCACTGCAGATTATCGTGCTGTTGTCCGAGCGAGAGGACTCTGAGCCTGCAGCTCTGTCCCCGCTGATCTGTCCTTTGTACAGTACATGGTAAGTCACAGTAGTAAGGGACAATGAAATGTGTCCTCAACCTGTGGACAAACACACAGAAGCAGCTTAGACAGGGCCCACACGACATCTGAGCTCACACGTGATTTAACCATTTAAAACTGAAATGTTTATGTTTTGGGTCCAAGTTTATATTTTGGTGGTATTTTTGCTAGTTCTCATGTCCTGAAATAACCTTGTGTTATATTTTATATCGCTACAATTGACCAACAAAAAGGCTTAACGCTTTCTGTTGGTGATTGCTTTTAGATTTATTTTGCGGCTGCGGGCACTCAAACCTAATTTATTTCAACAGTGGTGCAGATAAAGAAAACAGCGGATTTAAAACTATCTACAAGGACACAGAGAAACCAGGAAACACAATTTGCCAAAATTATTGTTTACTCCATTTTACATTCCAGCAATGAATAGAGATGTTCATGTATTCTTTCTTACCAACATTAATTAAAAAGTATAATTATAGGATGTAATTTGTTTGTTGTTGTTTGTTGTTTATAGAAATATGTAATGTCCAATTCTGCAAAAATATACACTCTTACATAGCGGTTTCTCTAAAATAAATGAATAAAAGGGTCAAAGGTCAAAGGACTTCAGCTTAAAGGGCCTGTACCCGGTTTATTTTCATAAAATAATGCGTTTTAGCCTCGCTGTTAGCATGACAGCTGTTAGCATTACTGTAGTGGCAAAACTCTTCTCTGGCTGTTAGGTATAACTTTGGACCACAGCAAACAGTTCAAAATAAAATGGATCAGTTTTTCAGATTTTTAAGACAGTTAAAATCAGTATCTGTAAATACATGTAAGTCTAAGGTGTAAAATATTAATTCATTTTGCCAGATGGTTGTGCCTAGTTGCACTTGCGCACTGTTTAGCAACATGACAACCATAAACGACTTAACAAACAGCCCCAGTACAACACATGAATAATTCAATCTACACTGTACTAAAGAGAGACTTAAATGATTGATGGAGCCCTGTGCTTTGGGACCATAAACATACCTCTATATCTTTACACTCTCGGTTCCGTAGACGTTGTAGCCTTCTCTGTATGTGGCAAAGTTCTGGGTGTTGGTCGGGGGAGTCGGCTTAAAGTTCTGAGCGTTCTTGGCCAGTTTGAGCCTTTTGGTTTCTTGTCGTGATTTATAACAGAACTCTATGAGGGCTACCATCATGGCAAGCCCCAGCCCTCCGACCAGAATATAGAAGACCCCTGCCACATTGCTTAGGCTCAGAGCGCTTGTCTTGTCCTGGGGGCAAGTGAACACCAATATTTAGAGTTTTACAGTGGTGAGAGGACAACAGCATAATGTACAGTGGCTACCCTTACAACTTCAACCTGACAATGTTTAATGCTATTAGTGAGTAAGTAAATCATCTTATTTCTAACACTATAAGAAATACTGCATATACAAAAAATCTATAAAACTTAACTCTACTTTTAAGTGTCTATAGGTGAATGTAGATATGTGTTCTAGTCTGTTTTAAAAGTTTCCATGTCTTGACCATGTTAGGAAGCTGGTCAGTATCGCATAGGTCGACCCCCTAAAAAGTCCCTGTTCTTTTCTCCATAGCGACATGTACGTATAACTCTTACAACAATGTCATACAGTACAGTCAAATCTATACTAATATAATGAAAATATGAAATATTCAAAGTCAAAAAGGTCTGACCATTTTGCTGCTGCTTACCTACCAAACATATTCATAAAAAATTTGTTCATTAGAGTTTTACTATTTGCACTTTTAACCCTATGAGTATCAATGCTAACGGCTTTTGGTTCAGTTTGTACTTATCTCTCAAAGGGTTAAATTATTGGTTTATTAAATTCCTTTGCTTCGTCTAGTGTGAAAATACAGTTTCGACACTTGCGCGCACCCACAAGAGGCAGACAGCACCCTGGGGCGCACTCTCTTTTTCTTGTTACACAAACAAGTTGAATTTGAGTAACACATTACACCAAAGATGGGGTCCTGCCTGTTTATCACACCACGGGAAGCCCAAGGAATCCAATAGACTCTTGCGACTATGCAAACTAGTAACAACGCAAATAAATCAAATTTTCATTAACAGTTTGGTAAATAGGAACAGCAGCATAATGGTTCCAAAGAATCATGAATGTCAAAGAGTGAAAATGAGACAAAAAAGAGCATTTATCAACAACTGCTGTGATTCAATTTAACTTTATCTATAAGGCATGCTAGTCATTTCCCCAGAACATTAACATTACACAAGAATGACTTTTCTCTACTGTAAAAAAGTGGCGTAATTTTGTATTTCAGGGAAATGGAGCCTTGTATCAAAGCCACATTAAACTGGTTGCAGTTTGTGGCATTTAAAAAAAAGGAAAAAACAAAAGAAAAAAAACAAAAACAGTATGTGTTACAAAGAAACAAAATGTAAACTACAGATGTAATTGAAGTCTTGTTTTGCATATGAATAATAATGCAATTTGGAATCAAAAGACCTGCAGCGACTGACCTTACTTCCCGAGTCCTTGGTTCCACATTCACCCTTATCGTACCACCATTTGTTTTTCAGCTTGTCTAAGATGCCTTGTTCACTGAGTTTCAATACTGCAAGGTTTACAGGAGTTCTTCACGTGGGAAATAACATAAATAACATTATATTATGTTATTTTATGTTATTCAACTGTTTAAACTACTAACATACTTAACAAAAGCGATAAAGCAGGGTTCCTGGCTGGCGTCAACATAACAAGAGAGAACAGGCAAATTGCTAACCCCATTTTTTACCTGGAAAAAACCCTAGTCTAAAAGCCAGGACCTACCCATATCGCTTTGAGTAATCGGCAGACGCTGTTTGCAAGACGACATGCAGGAACCATATCTGCAGGTCTATGAATATCAAAAAGGCACATTGGGTTTGAGAGACAGAAATGAATTATGGGGGATTTCTGAACAGCATTTGCATGGTTTAGTCAAACATGAGCTTTGTCTTACCAAGCAGAAGAAATTGAGTGATAATTTGAATAACAAGGTTGTATGTCTCAAGACTACAGGATGTGAGCAATAAATTAATAGAAGCAAATAAAGCTAAACTCAATTTATTTTATATACTTAGTGTGCATTATTTTGTTTATGTGTTCAGATTTTATTTTTGTAGATCATTCATAGTCTAAAGAAAACTGCAAAACAGCCTAAAAACATACTTTATATTTGTTAGGATTTAAAATGGCCGCACAGTGTGTTGGTTGCTCTGGCTCTTGGTCTATGTTCCCTCTGAAATGGAAGAGCAGATTTGCAGTAAAAGAAAACAGCATGTCGATAAATGAGTGACCTGGCTGCTCCTGGGGAACAAAACCCCGCGGGGACCTGAGCGACGCATAATTCTCTGGGTGAAGATTACACCACTGTATATCCCTCATAGCCAATCCGGACAACCCAAGTGTGAAGCTCCTACCATTGTCTTGGCTCACACAGACATTGATTAACAATGCAATTACCCCGTAACATGCTCTATGTCTGAAACTCAATCTAAAACAGCCCTGTGCTTTTGCCTGGGGCCAGAGAAGGAGCGACGGTGGGGCTAAATGTGAATGAAAGAGCTGTGAATGAGAGCGTTGCAGATGTAAGCAGGACGCTACAAATTATGAGCGCTCCAGGCCTATTTCCTCCACGTCATCTGAACCGGGGCCATCCCATAATATACTGGGAGCAAAAACAAGGTGGGGTACAAAGACAGAAGGTATTGTCTAATAAAAGATGGATGCTAGAACATGTGGCAGATGTTCCATAAAAGCTGTGTATGGTCTCAGAGGCAACTTAACAACCCGTGGCAACGGTAGTATTTCTTGTATGCCAGGTCTGTTATAGAAATGAATCTTAATTAATACAGTGGTAACAGTAATTTGAGTTGATTATTTGTCATTAAAAGATCAGTGTGGGTCAATAGAAAGCACAGCCATCCCTGAAATGTTGTTCTGTTACTAAAGCACTATATCTAAACCGCACTGCAGGGGTCTGTACTCCCTGTTCATCCTTTTATTGTCTAGGATATTAGTACTGTACTATGACATGGCACATATTATACTTTGCAGATGATGCCATCAACATTCCCTAGAGGTGTGAAGCTAACTGAAAGCACTAATCTGTTAGAGGCTCATTTACTGAAATTAGACTTAATCTTAGCTTTATTTTAATATAATATAACCAGAAAGAGTTGACTTGGTTGGAACTACAACAAGTCAGCTCATTTGTGCTGTTAGACAAGTCTCACACACATAAAGGTTAGCTAGAATTAGCCAATAGTTTTTCAGTTAGTCACTCTCTCACCTTTTTGTTGAAAATTAAAAACACTTAAACAGGACCATGAACACAGGCTCCTGAAAATTTGTTGTTTAAATATATTGTATGTTGTGCTAACATGCCCATTCTGTTAACACTTTAACGCTAACTACATATATCTCTAATGGTCGAATGTTAAGAAAACCCCCAGCATGATGTCACTGCAAAGTATCAATAGTGAAATAATATCTCACTTTTATTTCCATTCTTCATTGGTGGTGCAAACCTTTTGTTAACAAATGACTTTTCGAGTGCCATGACAGTATGTGAAGGCCAGTGGTCCTTGCAGTTTGCCTGTAATCTCTCCAATTACCTGCTCTAAATCACCACATGTAATGACAGTTTCATTTATCATTCAGCTGGCCCTGTGTTATTAAGGCCATAATACTAGGCCTTATGTGTAATTTAGCAGAAACCGCACATAGCCTTTTGGCCCCTAATGGCGCTAAGGTTGCAGTTAGTTGTCATGGCTGAACAGGGCTTTACTCCATTAGCCCCCATTGTAGAACGATCATTCATCATTTGACCACAGAGGAAGAAGAAATCTGATGGTCGGAGAGGTCATAGCGGGGTCAGTGCTGGTCCATAATAACTGGACAGATATGGAGGAGGCGGACAGCACAAGTGGCTTATCGGAGGAGCTGATAAAAATGACACGATATTAATTAGAGCGTTCGCTATTAACATGGTGTCCTCTATAGACACACTGTTCCTCTGACTCCCCTGCTGGCCTCAGCTCAGCAGCCATTTTAAGGTATTTTGGCCATTAAGTACACTTTATCATATTGGCTTTAGAGCTCTTGGGGTCCGGCCCAGTGTCAGGGATGGGGAGCAGCTGCACAATCAATTACTGCAAAGCTATCTTCTAGAGGATTAGCCAAGTTTACGTTAATGGGACAAAGGCGGTAGGTTACAGCCTTCCTGGAACAACATATTCAAATTCATGAGGGTATAGTAAGTGTCTGCAGAGTACACTGTGTTTTATCGACACCAGGGAAACCAATGAGTCATAGATGATGTATCCGACAGATGGACATGGTTCATTAAGTTACTCTCTCACTACATCTATGGGGCAACTTATTAAAAATATATTCAAGGCTGCACAAAATTAGAAACAAATATGCAAAATTAGAAATAACATTTTACACATTAAAATATCTGAAGCAGAAATTATGTCTTTTAATCAAATTAAGGTATCTTAAAATAAGTGAGGGCTAAACAAAGATGGCATCCTTATTATTATTATTTGGATGATTGGAATATGGACAATTTGGGCACCTTTTTGGTTTGACAAAAGCTCATTAGTTTAATCTAACCTGTGAAATGGCCTGGTTTTATAAACTGTTCAGTATAATAACACATGTTTAAGTGTTCTGGATTGTGGAGTTTGTTAACTTTGATTTGGTCAGCTGCAACAGCCTCGCCGATTACTCTGCACTATGGTACCCGATTGTGGTGACATCGAGGCTGACCTTGGAGTCACCTCCCCCGCTGCCGCACTCTCCCTTGTCGTACCACCATTTGTTTTTCAATTTGTCCAAGAGGCCTTGCTCATTCAGTTTTAAAACTGCCAGGTTAACAGCATTTCTTGAAACGATAAAACATAACTTGTAAGAAAATGCAACAGGTCCTAATGCAAAGTAAGCACCATAATTAATGCTAATGGTAGAATAGACTACCACTGTCATTGTTAAGGGGCTTAGGCTGCTCATGATTAAAATGTCTAGGAGAGGACAAATTGTTTGAGAATTTCATAAAGAGATAAGAGTATAAGTTAAAGACAGTGTCAAATCTTGGAGAAGGTGGCATGAAGGGTCACGTTGTTTAAACTGAAGTGTGCGGGATGGGGACACTTGTCATTGAGAAGAAAGTAACAACAACAAACATCATGCAATTAACATTGGTCACAAGTGACAGCGCAGCTTTTAAAGGCTAAATTGAAAAACCATTGAACTGTTAAATTAAAAGTGACAACACAACAGTCAGGTAAGACAGCACACAAGACAGAGGGAGAGATTCAAGGAGAGAGAAGAGGGAACAGTAAGAGACAGAAATATGAAATGCTCTGTTAGCTTTATCTTCATTATGTGGACTGGGTGGTTAGATTAGCATTTAGCATTTCTTATGTGTAAAATGTATCATCTGTCTCCCAAGTGCTGTGTGAGACATACTACCGTTACCTCGACGTCCACAACAAAACAAGAGAAGGAAATGACAGGGGACATCAGGGTAGGTGGAATACTATAACAACATGGAGGATATTGTTATATTATTCCACCCACCTTAATGCGGAGCCTTTGGGCGTGGCGATGCCGTAGCCTTTGGAGTCCAGGTTCCCGCCTACTTTCATGGTGTCACAGGGCTTCCTCTGCTCGATGTACTCGTTCATGGTGGACTCCAGGAGGAAAGCGAACTTGCCCTTTGACTTTCGCACTCGGGCTACGCCATCCGGAGTGGTCTTTACAAACACTGAAGGTTCAGCGGATTTCATGTAAGACCACATCTTCTCATACACTGCTATTTTGGATCGCTGTTTGAGAGAAGACAAGGAGAGGACACTTTAGAAAACATGGTCAAATATCAATGAACGCATCTTGAATTTTTGTGCATAAGGATCACCATATTAAAGATGCCAGAATGAAGTACTCATAGACATCGTTGGAAAAATAAGATGATATCTATAAATACTCCTAGAAAAATTGGAAAAATGAACAAAAGCACTTGGGGACTTTTGGCATGATCATTATGTACAAAAATCCAGCAATATTAAATTGTACAAGGATAGCTTTGTATGACCTGCTTCTAATCTAAAGCACCGGCATTCAAGTTACATTTATTCAGGTATTTGTTTTCCAAATTCAAGTTTCTTCTCCCATTTTCAGCACCAATGCTAAAACATCTACATGTCTTTTTCTGCAGATCTGTAGAGTTGTTTATGTACAAATGATTTCAGTAATTAAACCTTGCCACACTAACTTGGATGTAATGAAGAATTGTGTATGAACAAGACCAAGCAATATCTTGACTCAATTTCTCACTTAGTGCTTTTAGGCTTTGGTTTATTGTCCTAATATGATTTAACAAAACCTATTACAGCCATTTATTCTCACATCTGTCTTCACTAAACATGATAGAGAGAGATAATACCTCAGGAGGTGTAAACAGAAAGCATGCTGCGTACAAAATGTAACTTCTAACAAAGCTGGTTTCCATGATGTGGCAAAGTGCACTTAAGTCAGACCCAGTGCAGTGATTAATATAAATGGTTGAAGGTTTACAAAGATTGGAAATTGTAAAATGGGTACCAGCTGCTCACATCCGACAAATGATTTTGCAGTTTGAAAGGATCCGAGAAATATAAAAGCAATTTGTGCCTTCTATTGGAAAAAATTGTTAGATGCACTTGTGGGATTTGTGTAGAAACCACTAGTTGCAGAATATATGACCTTAACTTAAGAAAAAAATGCCCAAAATAATTTTTCAATTTTACAGGCAGCATTCAAATACCAGTTTATAATGTTACATGAAACCGTGAAATGTCACAAATTTGCTTTATACAATATTTGATTTTATATTCCCAACTTTTTTGAATGGCAGTATAGGATTATTGAAATAACTTTACAAAACGTGAAAGAAGACAACATCAAAAACATCATATTAGTCTCCGTTGTTTCGGCAGATTGATATTGCAGAAATGGCCAGAGGCAGGCAAGTAAAGGGGTCGTAACCTCAATCACAAAGTTGACAAACCAAGATGGCTGTTTAAGTTGAAAACATATATTTTTCTTCTTGGTAAAATGTCACACTGTTGTCAGTGGGGGCAATACCTCATAGGCAGGGGCATATTAATTACATTTATATGATCTGTGTTAATAAACCATGGCATTAACCTTGACCTGACAGATCTGCTGCAGTGACTTCAAGTAATCATATAGGATTTGTTTGTGCTCTTGTGTCACGGTGAATCAGGCGCTGGGCCCTGATTGGACGAGACGGCTGCATAACACAAATTAAAACCCCGTGTGATGAATGTGCACTGCTTATAGGAATTGAAGTCATGACACGGCCCGTTCCGTCTGGCTGCATATGCACAAATGAAGGGTGCGGTCAGGGTTATAGATGAGGTTTTTGGCTCACAATTTGTTCAGTGTCTTCAGTTAAAATGGTAATATCAGGGGGGACCAAACTTGAAAAAAAATCTTCTCTGCAATAGACAAGACTAATATATAACCCCCCGATTCAAAACTATAACTCTTCTGTCAGGTGAACTTCAAACTCTATTGTAACACAACATCTTTTTGTCTTTTTATAAAATGTATGGACCCATATAATATGAACTGTAAAAACAAGTTTGCCTGTTGCAAAAAAATGTAATACATTCACACTATCCATAGGCTATCCGATGATTAAATTAGGACAGTTGTCATAGCAAATAACATGAAAAGTATATATTTTGAAAAAGAGGAAAAAACATTATAACACATAAAACAAAGGTGAATTGCATAAATATTTATGATAAGCATACTCTCCAGTGGAACAATTCACCCTGAATAAAAGACCTCCCTATTCCCCCTCAACAGATCAACTTTAAGCTAATACTTCTCGCTCTTGTTGTATAAAAGACAACAATTCCCTATTGAACTGAATTTAATGTTTGACTGTACACACTGTTCTTTTGGCCAAGTAACTTAAACTGTGAATTTGTAGGAGGAAAATGGACATTGCAAACCAACACAAACAAAGCCCACACTGTGAAGGTCAACTGTTTTATTCACCGCCCTGAAATCCACATACGTATCAACACTTTTCAAAATTATCTATCAATAAAACATGGCAACAAAGATTAACTCCCAGCAGGCAATGTAAATCTGCTCATTGACTGCCTCGCTCTGAATGCACACAGAAACACAAAGGCAGCACACTGTAAGGCACTGGGAGCTGGTGTTCACCTCCCCTGAATGTAATTATTCACATTTCGCTCTATGGTGGTCATTTAAAATTCAATTAGAGTATAATGACTACAAAAAGTCCATCATCAATGAACAAGACAATTTGTCGAGCAATTATATACTGCCATAAATACAGCTTTACACACTCTCTCACACCATAGAGCAGCTCTGTATGCACATCACACTGGTGGGAATGAGTGACCCCACAATTAAAGGGGTGGTCAGATTAGTCTATGGACACAATATATGCCAGGTTACATTAGCAAAAAAATGATATAGTACAATGTAATGTCTCTTATACAAAAGGACAAAAAGGCAGTATGTATTGGCATAAACAGTACTCTATCTATAGTAAAACGTAATTGACTGTGGATAGTACAGACAGTAGACGCAACCAGCCCACACAATTGTAAAATATTGTTTTAACACCACATAATTCATTAAAGGTCGTGCAGCCTCTATCCAGCATAATTTTTTTGCTACGCTTGCTGTAGTAAACCACCGTTTGGGAGTTTTATTGGTTTTAAAATGTCTGCAAGAATCAGATGGTCGGAATTGCTTGAATTTCAGATTCTCCCTTATGCGCTCCCTCATCATTCTTTACAGCACAGCAAGTTACAGTATTGATCTGTTTGTATCCTCTGGTTTAAACGGCAGACAGAATGGCATTCAATTTTAACAGCATACCATATTCGTTATCAGTTATATTAAGCAGGCGATATGTTTAGTGTGTTTGGCAGATTTGAAAGAGGCAGGAGCTCGATATCAAAAGGGGGAACTTGATAGCTAAAAGGAAGGGCATCAGGGATAAAAGAAACTAAAGAGACTAATCACTAGGCCTGTCACCATAACACATTTTAAAGCACGATATATTGTTACAGAGATACACTGCGATAAATGATATTATTGAAACTACTTTATGCCACTGACACAAAACAGGATAATACCAGTAAACCTATTTTTAAATATACAGTATCATTTAAAAGGCTGAGCTGCAACAAATAAATGGCAGAATGAGCCAATAATTAGTCATAGCAGTTATTTTTTTCTACCGTCTACAGCTCAGATCTTATGGTATTAAATAGAAATGGTTAAAATCTCCCCACTATTGCAAAGAAAAAGTACCCACAATCAATACTGAGTCCCAAATTATATTGTTCCAGCTTTCATATATTTGACAATTAGTCGATATTGTAATTATCATGACAGGCCCACTAATCACCACTCATTTGCTGTACAAGCCCATTTGATCATGTTGTTTTCTTATTAATTGAACTAGTGCATCATCTGTGAATTTCTTTACAAAAGTTCCACGTCTGTTGCTTCAAGTATGAACCTTTCTTGATTAAAATGCCCCATTCAAAACAAGTGTATACAAAAATCACCCTAAATGACCATGTCCTCCTTAAAATCCCTGTTAATGCTCATCAATTTGTCAGTGCGCAACCTTCTCTCGCCCCCTGCACACTGTCCTCTGTACTGCGCCTGTTTTCTATTCTCTCCCTGGCTCAGGCCGACCACTTTCATTACATCCTCCCTCACATAACGCTCCAATGCTCCAGTATCTAAATGCCATCTTCAAACGCCCACCAAGACTACATTTCTTCTACTTCCTCTACTTCAGTCCCATTTTTGTTTGTGGACTTCAGAGCTTTTCCCTTGCAGTATCTCGTATGTACACCAGGACTGTACCTGTATCTCAAGTATGCAGAAATGAAAGTTGAAGCTTTGGGGTTGTGCTTTGTCATTGAAGTGGTACATGGTGTGTTGTGAATACAAATGTGGCGTCTTTGATTTGGAGCTTCAGTGGTGTGTGTGCTGCAGTGACGTTGTCTGCTGTGAGGTGAGGCTGTGCCAGACTGGTCTATCATCACCTTTGTCGGCTTTTCCTTTCATGCAAACATGTCTAATCTTCAGAGCTAGCTGCTGTCCGCGCATATTAAAACACCTGGGCTGCACCGTGCCATTCCACACTGTCTTGATACTTTCATTAAATGTGTCCTATGCAACTTTTCTGGTGAAGTGTCCGCCACCTGTTGGTCTGATGTTATTGCTCTCCATGGAGAAAAGCTGCATTTATAGAGCACCTTTCAAGACACCCAAAGCACTTTACAGTTCATTGTTCATTCACTCCACACTCAGTAGTAGTAAGCTATTACTGAAGCCACAACTGCCCTGGGACAGACCGGAGAAAGTGAGGCTGCCAATCTGCGCCATCGGCCCCTCCAACCACCACCAATACTCATGCACACATGACTTTCTGATTAGGCAATGTAGGTGAAGTGCCTTGCCTAAGGACACAACAACAGTTTTTGCCACTGGTGCCCCACTGTGGCAATGGGAATTCCATGTGGTCTCCCATCCAAGTACTACCCAGGCCCAGCCTTGCTTAGCTTCTTAACCCTCTCAGGCTCAAATTAAATTTTAGTAACAGGAAAAAATCTGATATTTGGGGAAAATGATCATATGGGGCAGTAATATACAATCCAGACTTTTTTTTTGAGAGAGACCTTCACACCCAATGCGTTCTGGGATGTTGCAGATTTGTAGCATTGGTCCGGTGTGGTAAATTAACAAGGAA